AGCGGCCACTGCACTCCAGTCTGGGCAACAGAGTGAGACTCCAACTCAAAAAAAGAATAAAATAAAATTAGGGTTGTCAACTAGGGTTAGACACTCACTGAGCCTGCTGACAGTTCCTCGGAAACAGCCCTGAGCAATCTCATTATTGGGAAGGCTTGGTCCCCTTGTAAAGAAACAAGCTGGCATCATTCAGCTTCACATGTCCCTTTAAGAGTTTAATTAGTAACCAGAAGACTGGTCCACACACAGAGCAGTGACCAAACCTGAGTCTTTAGACCTCTGAAGGCAAAACAAAGGAGGTGTTCTCCACAGGGACCTGGCTGGGTAGCTCCCTGGCTTCCTTGTCACTTAGCTGCATCCGCCAAGCCAAGCTGCAAAGACCTCCCAGAAGCTATCAGATGCTGCTTTCTTCCCTTGTCTGCATGATGCCTGACCAGCACTCTAGCCTAGCAAGCTTTCCCTGCATGCAGGCTGCACCTGGTAAAGCTCACAGGTCATATGAGGGTTATTCTTGCTAACACCAACAAAGGGAATCCAGACTCCAAGAGCAGGACCAGAGCTGCTGACTGCAGAAGGTCAGGGAGCATGCAGAATGACCTGGCACCAAGGAAAGAAAACGGGATTCCCCCCTGTGGGATTACTCACACACAGAAACCGGGGGCTGCAGCTTTACACTTCACTTGCTGTGGGACCTTAAGCAAATCATTGGACACCCCAGTCTCAGCATGTATAAAACCAAGGATTTGTGCTAGTTTCAGGAAGTGACCGAAAATCTTATGGCCCAAATGAAGAAATGAATCTGCACTGAAAGGCCCTATTCTAGTCAGGCACGGTGGTTCACACCTGTAATCCCAGCACTTTGGGAGGCAGAAGTGAGAGAATTGCCTGCATCCAGAGGTTTGAGAACAGTGCGGGCAACTCGGCAAGGTCTTGTCTCTACAATTAATCAAAAAAATTAGCTGGGCATGGTGGCATGCACCTGTAGTTCCAGCTATTTGGAAGGCTGAGGCAGAAGGATCTCCTGAGCCCAGCAGGTTGAGGTTGCAGTGGTCACAAGCATGCTACTGCACTCCAGCCTGGGTGACAGAGGGAGACTCTAACCATCCCCCACAAAAAAGGCCCTATTCTCCACAACCTCTCCCATCCACCTGATCAGACATGCAGTGAGTGTAAGAAAAACATAAAATGTCATACCACGTGGTGGACAAAGCTGCCTGAGGCTGCAAACTTCATCTGTTTAGTAGGAATGGGAGCTATACCATCATCATCTTCATCCAGATCATATAAATTCTGAGAAAAAAGAAACATAACTAATGTGGCATGCAGGCCATCAACAGAAATCTGGGACAAACACAGCAGGGAGATAACTGCTTAAGTGAGTGAGAGATGCGGGTGCATAGGGGGACTGGCATTGTAGGCTGGGGCTCAAGTCCTGACAGGCTGACTCCCTGTCCACAAGGGCCCAATGAAAGTGCTGCAACTGGGCAACCCCCTGGGATCCCCTTCCACTGTGGGAGCTTTTCTGTCCTCTTAATAAACCCTGCTTTCTACAAAAAAAAAAAAAGTGCCGCAACTTCCAGGTACATCAGAAGTACCTTTTTACAAGTGGGCAATACCGCAGAGTATGTTTGTGATAGCCTCTGGTTTGGAAAGTCCATCCTGGGTAATTTGGCCTCCAGAAATAAATCCAAACCCTAGAAAGAGCTTCATTTACAAAAATTCTCATAGCAGAAGAATTTCTAACATGACAGGAAGATGGTTTAAATAAACTGAAATGTCAACTCTATGGATCATGCAGTTACTAAAAATGCTATTTACAGTAAATGTGAAACACCACAGAAAAATGCCTGAGTAACAAAGTGAAAAAAGAATGACACAAAATTGGATAAGAATACAACCACAATTAAAACTATGCATTAGGCTGAGGTGGAAGGATTGCTGGAGCCCAGCAGGTAGAGTCTGCAGTGGCCGGAAGCGTGCCACTGCACTCCAGTCTGGGTGACAGAATGAGACTCCAACTCAAAAAAAAACACCAAAACCTATGCATTAAGTAAAAAATAATGGACTTAAGGAACTGTGGCAAAATTTCAACAGTAGCTGGCTTTGGAGGATATGAGCCTGAGGGGTTTTGACAAATTTTTAATATTAAGAGCATACAACTTTTATTTATTATTATTTTTTTTTGAGTTGGAGTCTCACTCTGTCATCCAGACTGGAGTGCAGTGGCCACTCCGGGCCACCGCAACCTCGACCTGCTGGGCTCCAGTGATCCTTCCGCTCAGCCTTCCGAGTAGCTGGAACTACAGGAGGATGCTACCATGCCTGGCTAATTTTTTGATTTATTGTAGAGATGAGGTCTCGCCAAGTTTCCCAGGTGGGTCTCGAATCCGCGTGCTCAGGCAATCCACTCACCTCAGCCTCCCAAAGCGCGGGATTACAGGCTGAGCCACCGAGTCCGGCTACCATACGACTTTTATAATAAAAAATTAAGAATTTAATTTGCGTCTTGCCCCTTATGTCTCCCCTCCCCCATTAAAAAATATCTTCTTAAAACTTAAAAATTGCAAAAAATCAAATATAACCCCTTCTCCAACACTTTAAACTGGGAACCTGGAGCCAGGACCCAGTCAATACACCCAAGTAGGCCTCAAAATACATACAGATACCTTCATGTATGTGCACACACACACACACACTCTACCTGTTTGGCCTGGTGGTTATTGACAACATTGATCCTCATTCCGGAAGGATGGGCATGAAGTGGTACCATTGCCTTCTGCTGTGGAACCTAGAAACACTCAGCAGTCATAATTCATCCCATGAGGTTCACATGCATTCTCTACGAGGAAGGAGGTCACTGAACTTGATATATGGTGGGCAGGCAGTCTCAGTCTTTGGCAAAAAGTTACTACAGAGTGCTTTACCCCCATCCCCCAACCCCCATAGCAGGAAGTGGCAGGGAGAAGCACCATCCCAGAGACCATGTGGTAAGGCACCTAGAGGACTTAATGAACCTGGTTCAATAAACGTTCACTTCTGCTGCTGCTCCCTTCCCTCTGGGACAGCAGCTGCGGAAGGGGGCCAGATCCCACTGGGCTCCTACCCTGGTACTCCCAATGATTGGTTGTGTAATGCTGGGCACACCTCTGAGACTGAGATTCTTGTCACAAAACTAGGATAGTAATCCTAGTGGTGGAGCAAGGAATGTTAAGATCATACATATTAACATTTTTGTGATCGGCAAATTTTTCACTTTCCTAATATCGAGAATGGGTGAAAATTTAAAAAATTTGAAGTTAGTTGCCGCAAACTTGTCATTAAACATAAGTGAAATGATCTTTTCTAAATTGTCATATTTTTCACAATACAGCTGAAAGTTGTAGACATATTCATTATTTGCCTTAGACATAGCACTGACTAGCACTCCGTACTTTGTATTTTTATTCGGATTATAAACCAGAAGACAGTCTTCCACGATGAGGTAAATTCACGTCAGCAGTCATGAATGAGTTAAGTGCCTGCAATATCCATGTGCTCAATAAATCTTTTATCCTCTTCCCTCCACCACTATTCCACATGAGAAAGACATTAAATTTCTATGGAACTCCCCTTTCTTTTACATAAAACTGAGATAATACCTTGCCTTCCTCATGTAGTTACTTGCCTATACTGTACTTTTTTTAAAAAAGCCTTTGCAAGCAACAACATATCAACACTTGGAAAAACTGTATTTTAGGCCAAGCTACTGGCCCCCTGCCTAAATCTATCTTTGTTACCAGCTTTCTGGGACTTTATGACAAAAGCCACAACCTACCTGGATGGTTTTGGTGAGCTTCAGAGCAGGGGTCACCGTCCCAATGGGTGGGTTCATGAAGGCAGCAGGGGAACTCCTCTTCAGGCTAATCTTTTCCCGGGCATCAGCAACCTGGCGGGGCTTCTGGGGCACTGTGGTCTGTTGCTTGCGAGAGTTCAACATCTCTCTGGCATCTTGCACTTTCCCTTTAATCCGAAATCTGGCATCTTTTTGCAAAAGCTTCTCCCGGGCATCCTTGACTCCCAGCTTGAGCCGGGCATCTGAGAGACCAATCTTTTGCCGGGCATCAAATCTCTGCTGGAAGGTGGCTGTGCGTGCTGGCTGGCTGAGAAGGCCCTGATGGATCCCAACTCGAGATCGGACACCTCCAACTCCTGGTCTGGCATTGAGCCTGCAAATACAAGTTACAGTAGTAAATGACCAACAGGCCGGGCTCGGTGGCTCTGCCTATAATCCCGCGTCTTTGGGAGGCTGAGGTGAGTGGACTGCCTGAGCCCGCGGGTTCGAGACCCACCTGGCAGCGAGACCTCATCTCTACAATAAATCAAAAAATCAGCCGGGCATGGTAGCGCATGCCTGTAATTCCGGCTACTCGGAAGGCTGAGGCGGAAGGATCGCCGGAGCCCAGCAGGTCGAGGCTGCGGTGGCTGGGAGCGGCCACTGCACTCCAGTCTGGGTGACAGAGTGGAACTCCAACTCAAAAAAAAAAAAAAAATTACCAACAGTATCAACAGTAGTCCACGGAAGTAGAGCTGTGGTAAGACTTGGAACAGAGGAGGTCCTGGAGAAACCAGAAAGTAGCTTCCTGTCTGTGCCTAAGTCACTAAGCCTACATAAAGTAAAGACTTCTTTCCTGGTTTCATGACTTTTTATTTTGCATTATAAACAAAATCAAGAAAGAGGGCTTGGTGATTCTTATCAGTTGTTAAGATTACTTTGCTCCCTAGACCAGGTGATTTCAGATACCAACATGGACTTATAACGTCCAAACAATGACAGTTAAATAAAATAAACATATCCCCCAAACATCATATCCACCCATTTGTAAAGCAACTTTAGTTTCCAAACCCCTCTACATCCATGTTCTCACTCAGCTCTCTCAGTACCCTGGAAAGCACTTACTATGCCCATTTTACAACGGTAAGCCTATTGAAATCAGGAGAGGCTCAGTGATTAAAAAGAGTGACTACTGCAAGCAGGTGCCATTTATTGGGCTAGGACCAAAAGAGTAAACATGTGGGCCTGGCTTACAGCTAGAGGAAAATAGATTGAAAATAAAAACACAGCTGGGCTCGGTGGCTCAGCCTGTAATCCCGCGCCTGAGGTAAGTGGATTGCCTGAGCCCGCGGGTTCGAGACCCGCCTGGGCAACTTGGTGAGACCTCATCTCTACAATAAATCAAAAATTAGCCGGGTGTGGTAGCGCGCACCTGTAGTTCCAGCTACTTGGAAGGCTGAGGCGCAAGGATCGCCAGAACCCAGCAGGTCGAGGCAGCGGTGGCCAGGAATGGCCACTGCACTCCAGTCTGGACAACAGAGTGAGACTCTAATTAAAAAAAAAAAAAAGAAAAACACTTGGAAGAAAAGAAAAATATAGTTGCTCTGAAATAGTAAAAATGTCAAATACAGAACCTATCAAAATTGGAAATGAATTTAACTCCACTAAACAGGACTATTCTCTTTCTGGGGTTCTCCTGTTGGCCTTCAGTTTGAAGGTGAACAGAAGAACCTACGGAGTCCAGCGCTGGAGATCCTCCCTGGGGTCTTTGGGGAGGGAGTCTCCTGCCTCCTTCCACCTACCCACCTTCCCAAGGGTCTCCTCACTCCAGTTACCATTAACCCACTCTTGTGGTGGGCGCCCTGCCTGGGGATACCTATGTCAATGTCCTCTTTGAAAAGCCCTCCCTGATTCCTCCAGGATAACCCTCCTCTGTGCTTATTATTACATCGGCTTGCTTCTTTTTTTCCTTTCCCCACCCTGGGCTGGGTGGGATAGGAGGAGAGAATAGAGCTCATTCCTTTCAGGGTCCAGTACCTCACAAGTGGTGTTAAGCCTTGACTGAACATCAGAAACTCCTGTGGAGATGCTTCTTTTTTTTTTTTTAATTGCAATTAAGTTTACTCATTTTTATTTATTTATTTTTTTATTTTTATTAATCAATATTTTTTATTTTGGTATTGTGGGGTACAGT